GGAGCGCCCTTCCGCCCTCGTGCGCTTTTCCGGCCCGCGCTGCACCCGCCGCACGCCCCCCGCCCCGCCCCCCCCCCACCCCTACGACAGGTTCGCGTCGTGCAGACTTCGGCGTTGGCTTCTGACACCGCGGGGATCGTTCAACCTTGAACGAGCGGCCGTTTCCGATACGTCCACATCGTTCCACACCGAATGATTCTGGGTCGCCCGCGGCGTTCAAGGCTGAACGCCGCTGGCGGCGTGGCCGCCGGCCGAGCCCCGCAACGGTGCGGTGACAGACCGCGCGGTGACCTCGAAATACCCCAAGACCTCACCGCACGGTCCCTCTCCGCACGGTCTTGGGAACCCGGAGGCCCCAGCCGCCCGAGACGCCCTCGGAGAACGACCCGAGGCCCAAGACCGTGCGGTGACCTCGAGTCCCCACCGACTCACCGCACGGTGTGGTCACCACACCGTTTTGGGGGCCCCCGGACGCACCGGAACCTGGGTCAGCACAACCCCCGGACCCGCCGGAGCCCTGTCGCGCTGTCGCGAAGGCCCGACCTCACTGAAGGGGCCCCAGGACACACAAATCAATACACACAACCAAAAAGATTCCCCATAGCTTCCCATATATTCTCTGGGTTCCTGTCTTCCCCCCCACTTCCCATGTTTTCCCACAGTTTCTGGGGCATCGCCGAGTCATTGTGTCTGTGTGTTTCTGCCCCCTCCTCACAGAGCCCGGGCCAGCACACCCCCCGGACCCACCGAGCCCGGGGCCCCGTCGCGCTGTCGCGAGGCCCGACCTCACAGCAGCTCCGGCGCCTTGGGCCCCCCGAGAGCCGACGCTCCGACGAAAAATCGGAGAACGGCCGGCTTTGGGCTCTGCGCTTTCGGCCTGCGCTGGCGGCGCGCAGGAGGGGGGCCTTAGGGGGGAGGGGGGAAGGCTTCTCTAAAGGGGCCCCAGGACACACAAAGAAGTACACACAAATAGAATGATTCCCCATATGTTCCCATATTTTCTGGATTTTCGCCTTCCCCCCCAAGTCCCATATTTTCCCATATTTTCTGGGGAATGGACGATGAATTGTGTCTGTGTGTTTTTTCCCCTCCTGATTATCAGAAGCACCCTGCTTCTTAGAAGCCGCGGACCTCGTCTGCAGATGCAAGGCCCGCGCCTTCCAAGAGGCGGCCCCCCTCCAAGAAGCCTTCCCCCCTCCCCCAAGCCCCCCTCTGCGCGCCGCCAGCTGCGGGGAGCCCTCCACGGACCCCGGGACCGTCAGAGCACGGCTCAGGACGAAACGCCGGCCCCTGGGGTTATGTTGTTCCAATCCTACTTAAGGACCACATCCCAGAAATAATTTCGAGCACCCGGAAAAGTGTCAAAAGAGTGTCGAAACAGTGTCGAAACAGTGTCGGGCGAGCGTCTCCCAAGGCCCGACGCGGGAAAACCCTTGAGTTTCGGTACTTTTTGGGGCGCTCGAAATTCTTTCTGGTGGTCCAGGCTAAAGTAGTTTGGAGCATCATAACCCTGGGGAAGGGGCCCACGCCTCGAGCAGACTGGAGCGCCAGACTGTCTGGGTCGGCAGGGAGGGCGGGCAGAGGGCGTGGGCCCCAAACGGTGCAGTCCGCCGGAGGGGAGTGGCCGACCCCCGTCAGCGCTGACCCCCGCCACGTGGGCCCCGGCCCGTGCTCGGCGGCGAGCCCGGGGGGGGGGGGGAAGTGAGAAGGGGCGGGCCTTCTCCGAAGGCTCGGAAGTCCCCTGGCCTTCTGAGAAGCTTCCTGAGCTTCTGCCCCGACAAGACACGGAACACCTCGCCGAAGGCCAGAGCGCTCCTGAGAAGCCCCGCCGCCGTCTGAGAGGGCCTTCTTGAAGGGGCCCTGGGACACACACACAAATCAATACACACAAATAACAGGATTCCCCATATTTTCCCATATTTCCTGGGTGTTTGTCTTCCCCCCCACTTCCAATAGTTTTCCCATATCTTCCTGGGAGTCGACGATGAATTCTGTCTGTGTGTTTTTTTTCTCTCCTGCCTTCTCCTGCTCGCTTCCAGCCCTCTCAGGGACGGCAAAGAGGGGGGTGTCCAAGACGGGGGGGGTGCAAATCATGACCGGCGGCATGTGCGCGGCCCCGCGGGGGGGCCAGGGACGTAATGAAATAAGAAGAGGCGCCATGAGATCCTGGGAGATATCATGGCCCCCGCCATGATATCCACCCCCCCCTAGTCATCACCCCCCTCTTTTCCGTCCCCGACCCTCGCTCGCCGCCGACTCTGGACTTGCCCGCCGGTGTCCTCCGCGAGCAGCGCTTCGCCGCTGTCGCCTTCGGCGGGTGCCCGGGCGCCCCCGCCTCGCCCGCCCGGGCGCTGCGTTCCCCCGTCGGTGAGTGCCCCCTCCCGTCGCCGAAGGGGGAGGACATACTAGGAGGGGGAGGAGGAGGGGGAGGGGGAGGAGGAGGGGGAGGAGGAGGAGGAGGAGGAGGAGGAGGTAGGAGGCAGGAGGAGGAGGAGGAGGGAGGGAGGAGCAGAGGAGCGAGGACTGGGAGGAGGGAGGAGGAGGAGGAGGAGGGAGGAGGAGGGAGGAGGTGGGGGAGGAGGAGGAGGAGGAAGGAGGAGGAGGAGGAGGAGGAGGGGAGGGGAGGAGGAGGAGGAGGAGGAGGGAGGAGTGAGGGAGGGAGGGAGGGAGGGAGGGAGGGAGGAGGAGGAGGAGGAGGAGGAGGAGGAGGAGGAGGCCTCTCGGCCTCCGCCTTGCGGCGCGGGCCCCCCCGTGGGCCAGCCCGTGTAATGAGACAGAGGCCTTGGAAGACCATGTCGACACGTGGCGAGCGGGGCGCGGCCAGCGAGAGCGGCCAGGGATGGGCCGAAGGGGAAGGACGCAAGGGCAGTCTCACAATGTTCGCCCAACCGACCCAAAGTTCCCACATTGTCCGCCCGGGCCAGGTCGGTCAATGACAAAATCTAGATACTGGGAGCCAGCGGTAAACCGTCAACCAGGTTACCGCTGGGACCCTCGTAGAGCTCTTGACACGCGAAGTAGTGCTCAGAATACGACGAGAAATCATTACTATGCGGGTTGACTGCACTAGCACTGTGCGCCCCCCCTCGGAGCCGCGGCACGCGGGCCCCCCGCCGCGGCGAGCGCTGCGACTACGACGGGTACGCGCCAGGTGGTCCCTCGGGTGCTACTCGGAGCCCCTCGGCGAGGACGGCCTCCTGGCGGCCCCGCCCTGGACTGGATCCCCGACCAGAGGGGCAGCCTCGGAGCGCTGCTCGTCACTACTATGCGGGCTGACTGTACTAGCACTGTGCGCCCCCTCCCCTTGGAGCCGCACGTCCGAACCGAACATGGTGTGCAAGCACCCTATGTTAGGGCACTCCCATCGTACTTAAGAACACATTCCAGAAACCACTTCGAGCACCCAGAGGAGCATCGACACGGTGTCGAACGAGCATCGCCTCCCGGGGCAAGACGCGTGAAAACCCTCCAGTTTCGCTACTTTCTTGGCGCTCGACATTGTCTCTGGTGAACGAGGCTCAAGAAGCTTGGAACATCATAAACCCGATAGCGTATCGTGACCCCGGCGGCACGGCCAAAAGACGCCCACCACCGGGCACGTACAATGAGTCCTGAACGCGCGCGATGCCCCGCCGGGGGGTGTCGACGCACGCGCAGCAGAAGCATGTTTGGATGATGCCGACCCGTAGGGGGCGAGGAGCCAGGATTAGGTCGGGCGTGCCCTCCTACAGGCGGATTTTGGACGAAGAATCATAGATAGTCATATTCTATATTTTATGTTAAATAAGAAAACAAAGACAATATTATATGTATTATATACCATCTATATATATATAAATATATATATATATATATATATATATATCGAAACATCGCCCCCAGGCTATTATTTGACTATCTTTGAATACTCCTCCTGTAGAGGGACAGGCCCGACTAAGCCAGGAGGGAGGAGGGGGGGAGGGGCCTGCTGAGGTCGGACGGACGAGGGGGGGGGATAGCCACGGGGGGGTCCACGCATGAGCTCTCCTTGGAATCCGACCAGGATCGTGTTGGAATCCTGTCATGGGTGAGATCTTGGTGGGATCCCGGGCTGAGGGTGACCACTTACCAGAGCACCCCAACCCAACCCGAAGACCCGAATTTCGGGTTGAGTGGGGTACGGGCTTCATGTGTGTGTTTTTGGCGATGGCCCCCGACCCCCCACGCTGGAAATTGAGGGCACATCGGGGCCTTCGGGTTGGGCTGGGGTGGTTTTGGGGGCGGTGAGAGGGGTAAGGGGGTGGGGTCGACTATCGCTCCTGAGGGTTCTGCATTGTTCTGAGGCGCCTCCTGGCGCTGGGAGCCTCCCATGCGTCGAGGAGGCCGACGACCACGGACAACGACGACGACGACGACGACGACGACGACGACGACGGACGACAGACAACCGACACGACCGACGACCGACGAAGGACAAACAACGACCGACGACGACGACGACGACGACGACGACGACGACGGCGACGACGACGACGACGACGACGACGACGGCGACGACGACGACAGCGACGGTCGACGACGACGACGACGACGACGACGACGACGACGACGACGACGGACGACGACGAAGACGACAACGACCATAATGACGACGACGACGACGACGACTACGACGACGACGACGAAGACGCCGACGATGACGACGACGACGACGACGACGACGACGACGACGACGACGGCGACGACGGGACGGTCGACGACGACGACGACGACGACGACGACGACGACGACGACGACGACGACGGACGACGACGAAGACGACGACGACGACCACGACGACGACGACGACGACGACGACGACGACGACGACGACGACGACGACGACGGCGACGACGACGGCGGCGGTAGACGAGAAGGGAAACGGGAGGGTGGGCGGGACACGTCGTCGTGGGCGAATCGGCTGGGCGGGCGGTGGGGCGGGACACGTCGTCGTGGGCGAGTTGGCTGGGCGGGCGGGCGGGACACATCGTCGTCGTCCTCCTCCTCCTCCTCCTCCTCGTCGTCGTTTGCTGGCGCCTAGGGGAGAGGTGGGGCCTTTTGAGCGGGGGGGCCCTGGTTTCAGGACGTCTGGGATTTGTCGCTGGTCGGGGAGTCCCCCTGATTGAAAACCTCCCGCCCCCCTCAAGCGAATAAAAAGGCACGCTCTTCCTGAGCGAACAAGGAAAGAAAAATGCATGCCAAGCATTTGAAGCTCACGTGTGCGACGAAAAAAAAGGGGGCCTCACGCAAGGTGCCACAGCGGCCTTGCGCCGCGGCTTCCGCGGGCCGCCAGCGAGGCACGCAGCGTGGAGAGGAAGGCGCTTACGCCGCGCGAGTGCCGGCGCAGCTGAACCGGTTGTCCTTCGTCGCTCAAATGCGAAATCCAATGTGCAGTCACTGCGCTGTGTGAAAAACGCGCCGCTGGGCGCGAGAAACGAACGAGAGAGAGGCGGCGGTAGCAGCATGACACAGCACTAGAAGAGAAAAGGAAACGAGCACTCAGACTGACTTTCCTCCTCCTCCTCCTCTCCTCCTCCCCTCCTCTTCTTCCTCCTCCTCCTCCCCCTCCTCCTCCCTTCCCTTCCTCCTCTCCTCCTCCTCCTCCTCCCTTCTCCCTTCCTCCTCCTCCTCCTCCTCCTCCTCCTCCTCTCCTCTCCTCCTCCTTCCTCTCTCCTCCTTCTCTCTTCTCCTCCTCCTCCTCCTCCTCCTCCTCCTCCTCCTCCTCCTCCTCCTCCTCCCAAATTGCACGAAGGAGAGAGGGGGGTAGGAGGAAGGCAGGGAAAGGCAGAGAGGCAGAAGTAAAGAGGGGGAAGGCAAGGGGGTGAGATGCGAGGCGGGTAACTATTCACCACCACCTGGGGGATCATCCTCGGGGACGTCGGCGGGCGATGGATGTGGATACACCTGCACATCCCATGGGCCCGAATAGATTCACATCCACCGCCTGCCGAGGTCTCCGAAGATCGATGCCACAGGCGGTGGCGATGGATAAGTCCCCGCTTCGAACGGAGCAGGCTTCTTCGAGGCCTCCCAAATGGGGTCCGAGCAGTAGATGGTCGGAGGATGGCGCCGCATCACCGACGCATCGCCGGCGCATCGATGATGCATCGACGATGGATCGGCGACGTCGGCGGTGCATCGGCGACGTCGGCGCGAAGAACATCATCGGTCTCCACATCGAGCCGCATCGCTGGTGCATCGGCGGTGCGGCGCGATACCCTTCCCACCTACTCGGACCCCATCTGGAAGGCCCAAACTTCCCGCCACCGCCTTCGGACCCCTCGCGGTACGGATGCGGCCAGGCAGCCTCGTGCTCTTTGCGCCGAGCGGAGGCGGCCCGGGCAGACGCGAGGGAGCCTGGGCACCAGGGGCCGGTCAGCAGGGGCGCCAGCAGGAGGAGCATCGCGGGCATCACCTTCACCGCAAGAACTTCTTTTTATGAGGAAAATCCTGGAGGCGTCGCGCGGCAACTTGAAACCCAATGTACGTAGGATCCACGTCGGATTTACGTCGGGCTCGTCGGATTTACGTCGGATGAACGTCGGATGAACATCGGATTTACGTCGGACCATCGCCGCACGAACGTCGTCCCATATCTGACAGGGCGGACGTGCGGACCAGATGATTCAACTATTGCGCGCCGCGCGAGGCCTCCAGGATGTTCACCACAGTTAGAACCCATCCCAGACTTCCCGTCGGCATGGCACCATGTGCCATGAACGCGGTGCCGAAAACCGAAACGGTTCGGCGCAAGCATACCAGACGCCTGCGACGCCAATAAACACTGCACTCCGTTTCCATTCGTTTGCTGGGGGGCTCGCAGGGCTCCAACTGCCCACGCGGGGGAGGCTGGGCCCCAGGGTCGCATTCGCGCCGAAGCAGACAAGAGAGATCCTCCTAGGGATCTTCCCACTCGTCGATTCGCACATCTGCCAGGAAACGTCCAGGGCGCGAAAGTGCACCTTTCGAACCGTAGCCTCATCGGCACCATGGGCAACATGATGTGGCGGCTGGCTCGTCGGCGCGTAGCCTTCGAGCACATCAACGCCACACGGCCGTGGCCCAACTCGGCGCAATTGGAGGCCTATCATGCGGCCCGCCAGCCATTCATGAAGCGGAGCTCCTGTTTCGGAAAGCAACGAAGACCAACGGACATCGCGCCGCAGCCGTCATTCGCACTTGGAGACGTACGGGGCGTGGAAATGATGGTGAGTCCCTCCGCCGTCCACCGCGTGGACACCGTCATCGATGTGGTACGCAAGAAGACACGTCGATGCGAGGCGTAAGATTTCGTTGAGTCCGTCAACTCGCTGCAATCACTCGCACATGGAGTTCCAGATCTTGAAATACTGAAGCGACCGTGACCCACTCGAAAAACATGCGCGGGGAAACGTGGTGCTCTTCATCGGACAGGCGGTCGACAAGTGTCGCAAAGAGGAGACCGACGTTCGGCACGAAAACAACGTTGTCAACACGTTGCAACATGGGCGACTCGTGCGATCGTAAAAGGCGGCCTTTACACCAGCACGCCCCTGCAAGCACCATCGTCCGCGCTGCATGTCGGAGGGCCCTTTTGCCACCCACTCGCCTCTAGTTCCCAACGAGACGAAACACTGTGCTCCGTGCTCGCTGTCCGCAGGGGCCTGCTCACCCCTGCACCCTCACCTCACCAGCGCAGCAACCGCCAGCAGCGCCTAGCCTGCCCTTGGCGCCGTTCGCAAGGCTGCATTGGCCACACGCGGGAGCTCGGTGCGGCCGGGTGGGCACTTGCGACCCCCGCTCCCCGGTGGAGGCGAACGCTGGCCCGCCGAGGCTCCCTTCGACCTCCGCCGGCTTCCGCGAGCCTCCCGCCGCTTTCTCCGCCAGCGGGGCCGGCCTCGTTTGACTCCCTCTTTCTCGCGACACAATCCCCCCTCACCGTCCGGAACTCTCGTGGCTGGGCCCGCCTGTTCTGCCGAGCACCGGCGCTATCACGCTGCATGATCGGAGAATACAAAACTGCGGAGACACAGAGACGCGCACAGAGAGGCACACGACTGCGGCGGCCATCGCCCTTCCGCTGCCACCCCTCCACTGCCCTCCGCCGAGGAAGAGGCGCCAACTCCTCCGAGCCTCGAAAAAACGATGCCCTCTCGGGAGCGCGCCCCGTGCGACGACACCCCCTGGCCGGCGAACTGGAGGGGTCGCCCCGCAGAGAGCGCTTCGCTGGCACGGTGGCGCACTGCCACGGGCATGTCCCCCGACACGTGGATTCCTTCGACGAAAAAAAAAAACATTCGAAAAATACCCCCAAACGGCGCCAAAAGATGCCCAAAAAGAGGTCCCCATGCTATTTCTTTGACCATTCTTGAACATTCCTCCCGTAGAGGGACGGGCCCGACTTCAGAATAGATCCACATCCACACCGCCTCGGCGTCGCGCCTCGGCGCCTCGATGGCCCCCTCGAGCACGCCTCGTGGAGGCGGACGCCGGCCCGCCGAGGCCGAGAGCTCGTGCTCAGCGCGTCGCGGCGGCGGCCCCGGCGACACGCCGAGCGACTTGCGAGTGGACCGCGCGCGTCGCAGCGCTCCGCGGGGCGGCGCGCGCGGGAGGAGGAAAGAGGAGGAGGAGGAGGAGGAGGAGGAGGAGGAGGAGGAGGAAGGGCTTGGGACGCCGGCGCGTGGATGCTTCCCAGCGGCGCATCACCGTGCTGCTCACCACCACCACTATGAGGGTGGTCAGGCCGAGGGCGATGCCAACGAAGCGGAGGTTGTCCTCGGGCACCAGGGCGGACCCGAAATACGCGATCGCGATGAGCAAGCCGCTGACGACGATCGTCTTGACCGTCTGCTGCATCAGCACGTCGACGCTCTGCTGCACCGAGAAGCACCTGCCACGGCTCTCGCTGAAGCGCCCTATCAGGAAGAGGCTGTAGTCCTCGGGGGAGGCAGGCGAATCGTCCCCGAGCTGGCCCTCGGGGGGGGTGACAGAGACGAGGCGGCGCCTCGTCGTCGAGCCGGCAGCCCTGGGAAGGCGCGTGCGGCATCGACGCCCCCGCCCCCCCAGTCCACTCTGCACCCTATTGGAGGATAGAACCGTGTGATCACACGGAAAGCAAGCAGAATTCACTTGATTTCAACTGCGTGTTCTTCGCCGCGCGCGCTGCTCAGCGATGCACGGCCAGCGAGGCCTTTCCTGCCTCCGTGGCGCGTGCGGCCTCGTCCCCACCCCCACCCCGACCCTGTGTGGGAGGGAGGCCGACCTTGCGGAAAGCAAGAGCGCGGCATAAATGATGTCTGCCAGCACAGACCGCAGACGCCTGCTTCTTGCACTGTCGCTGCGCACCCTGTGTGGTGCAGCCAGCGGGATGCAACCCATGCGGCGCAAGCATCGTAGCGGAGTCTATGGCTTGCAATTGATTTTTACCCATGATTTGAAACATCCCATGCTCTTGCAAACATCCCACCCACCCACCCGCAACTTGGTTTGCAAAACCTCTTAAGACCGTGACAGTAGGTACCAAATGGCACTTGGCAACGGCACCGACGCCGACGACGACAGCGACGTCGACGACGACGACGACGACGACGACGACGACGCCGACGACGACGGCGACAATGACGACACCGACGTCTCCTACGACTTCGACGACGACGACGACGACAACGACGACGACGTCGACGACGCCGACGACGACGACGACGACACCGACGACGCCGACGACGACGACGACGACGACGCCGACGCCGACGACGACGCCGACGACGACGACGACGACGACGACGACGACGTCGCCAACGAAGACGACGACGACGACGACGACGACGACGACGAGGGAGGTGGGAGGACGACGACGGCGACAATGACGACAACGACGAGGGAGGAGGGAGAACGGCGACTACGAAGACACCGACGTCTCCTACGACTTCGACGACGACAACGACGACGACGACGGCGACGACGACGACGATGACGATGACGACGACGATGACGACGACGACACCGACGACGACGATAACGACGACGACGACGCCGACGACGACGCCGACGACAACAACGACGACGACGTCGACGACGCCGACGACGACGGTTGACGACGACGACGACGACGACGACGACGACGACCGACGGCGACGACGACGACGCCGACGACGACGACGACGACGACGACGACGACGACGACGACGACGACGAAGACGACGACGACGACGAGGGAGGAGGGAGGACGACGACGGCGACAATGACGACAACGACGAGGGAGGAGGGAGAACGGCGACGACGCGAACGACGAAGAAGGAGGGAGGACGGCGACGCCGACGACGACGACGACGACGACGAGGGAGGAGGGAAGACGACGACGACGACGACGACGACGACGACGACGACGACGACGACGACGGCGACGAAATAGGAGGGACGACGACGAGACGCCGACGACGGACGACGACAGCGACGACGACGACGAGGAAGGAAGAGGAAGGACGACCACGGCTACAACGACGACGGAAACGACCACGACGCCAAAGAGGACGACGACGACGACGAGGAGGACGAGGAAAGACAGAGGACAGAGGACGACGACGGCGACGACGACGACGACGACGAGGGAGGAGGGAGGACGACGACGACGACGACGCAAGAGGGCGCGCGCACGCTTTTGTTGAAAATCCGTGTTGCGAAACCTTGTGTTTTTGTATATTTTTTGGACACACGATCTTGAAATCCTTCCGAAACCGCCGAAAGTTTTGAAGGATTTCGGCAGGCGCGCGCGCGACGACGCGCGCGTGTGCACTTCGTCCCATTTGTTGCAGAGGGTTGTCGCGACTGCACGCGCGCAAGGGCGTTCGAAAGACTTCGACATGCGCGCGCGAAACCCTTTTGGTACCATTTTATGAAAATATTGACAAACATATGGTTTTCTTCAGATTTCGCAAGAGCGCGCGCGTAAGCTTCTTTAGAAAATCAGTGTTGCGAAACCCTGTGTTAGCGCATGTTTCTGGGAAACTCGATTGCGAAATCCTTCCGAAACCAGCGGTTTTTTTAAAGATTTCGGCATGCGCGCGCGACGACGCGCGCGTGTGCACTTCGTCCCATTTGTTGCAAGGGATTATTGAAAACTTATGATTTTTGATAAACGAGTGCGCGCGTGGCTTTTTTTGCCAAGGATGGCGGAGGGGGGCGATACCGGCCTGGCTGGGATTGTATGAGTTCATATTTAGGATGGACGAATGTGCAAAATCATATGTAAAGTGCAATCCGAAAAAGTTTACCGTTAACTCCGGGGGGAGTAGAGTATATTCTTCTTGTAGAAAGGAGAATTAATTGCTAAAAAAAGTTTAATTGTCAATTCCACTGCTCGCGCAATAAAACGACCTGCGGCGGCGATTGCGAGAAGTCCTTTGTGATGGATGGCGCATCGAATCTCTGCGGCCGCGTGTGCCCGCGCATGCTCGCCCGCACAATGGCCAGCTGGTTTGGCGCGACCGACGCGACCGCGGGGGCACTGACCGCCGGGCGCGCCCCAGCGCGTCTCGCAAGCTAGCTGACGCGCGGGCATTTCAGTGCGAGTCGGTGACATGCAGGGACGCGATATCATGGCGACGTCGACAGCGGCTGACACGCTGATGATAATAGCGATGATGAGCAAGAGCGCAAGGGCGTTCGAATGCTTCCGACACGCGCGCGAGGCCCGCGCAGTCGGACGTGGGAAACCCGCAGCAAAAAAAAACAATGGTATTCCTAAGAATAATCCAGAGCGCGCGCGCGGATTTGTTGACAACCAATGTTGGAAATTCAGAGGCGTTGTTCACTAGTGCTCGAGAACCTCGATCTTGAAATCTGCACGAGAACGCCAATCTTGAAAGGATTTCGACGCGCGCGCGGCGGACGCGCGCAAGTGGTCCGCAGAGTATGTCTGTTGATATGAGTTCGCGCACTGCGCGCATCCTGGACCAACGCGGAAACACCGCGCGGCGAAATGAAAATGCGGGTTTGGGGCGAGAATGCTACAATCATACGGCGTCCCTATGATTCCAGCAACTTCGCGCGGGCAGCAGACTTGCAAGATTTAAGAAGATGTAGGATGCAAAGCCAAAATAAGGCTGCACGCGCTTGTCTTGAACTCGCCGCAGACCCGGCGCGCGCGGCACGACTTCGACGCGCGCGGGCGCGCGTGGACTTTGCCATATTTTTGGGCGGGGATTCACGCCGCATGAACTGCTTCGAAAAAACGAGCGCGCGCGCATATATATGTGTATATATATATATATAATATTATTTGGCACGGACGGACGAGGGTGCGCAACAGGAGGACTGCCTGGGAAATGCATGAATTCACGTGCAAAACCACAGCGACGCTGCAAAACCACGCAAAATCTGCCACGCCCCGGGGGCGGGGGTTAAAGTTCGGGCGGGGGGGGGGGGAAGAGCCGCGTCCCTTTATAGAACAGATGGCTCTCCTTGCTGATATGGGACACCGCTTACGCAAACGCCCCACCCACCCACGACTCATGGGCGAAATCCAACTCGTGGGCGACAGAGAAGATGACGATGACGCCAGCGACGCTGACGACGACGGAGAAGGCAACGCCGACCACGACGATGGCGCTGGTAATGAAGCTGATGGCGATGATGTCGGCGAGGCAACGGCGACGCTGGAGACGACGATGACGATCGCGCCGGCAATGACGATAACGAAGTGCCCGCGCACGGATATTTAACGAGGGACGCGACATCGACGAAGGCGACGATGGCGGCGGCTGCGATGATCCCGACGATGGTGATGATGATGATGATGATGATGATGATGATAATGATGATGATGATGATGATGATGATGATGATGATGATGATGATGATGATGATGATGATGATGATGATGATGATGATGATGATGATGATGATGAGAACGCGGATGATGATAATGGTGATGATGTTACGATGGCGGTAGCAAGGGTGGCGCTGGCGATGCTGATAACGACTGCGCTGGCACAGAAGACGATAAAGCGCGCGCCCGCAGGAACTCTGACACCTGACATGCAACCAAGCCACGGGCTCAAGTGTGTGCGCTGGGCCCCCCCTCGGGCGGCGCGCGCGGGATGGGGGACGACGGCGGCGCCGCGATGGCTGCTTCTCTCGTGGAGGCGGCGGTCCGCGCTGCTGTACAGGCAGGCGCCCCGCGCAGGACAGTCGCAGCCGCCGCGGCTGCCGTGGCCACCTCGGTCATGGCGGCGACGCGGCGTGGCGATGGTCCGGCGTAGGGCGCCCCTGATCCCGCTGCCGCCGGATCGGCCGGATCCCGGCGGCAGCGGAAGAGGCTTAAGAAGAAGGCCCTGGCGGTGCGCCAGGCGGACGACTCAGACAATGAGGACAACAAGAGGAGGAGGCTGGAGCTGCCGGCGTCGCACAGCGGGGGCGGCGTGGTGCCGGCGGCGACCGGGCCGACCATGGAGGAGACGGAGGAGGACGATGACGCCTCTTGGTCGCCGCCGCCTTCGGCGGGCAGCGATCAGGAGATGGAGCCGAGCGGCGAGGACCGCGGCTTGCGCAGCGAGGAGTCCATCGAGCAGAATGTGCAGGCCCTGGTGGAGGCCCAGGCTCGGAGGAAGAAGCCGGCGCGGCAGGGGTTCCCAGCCCTGCCGCAGTGGATGTTCACCGGCGCGGGGCAGCTCCTTGCTGGCTTGCCCGAGTGGAATCATCAGGAGGGTGTGTGGGCCGTCCGGCTCGGCGCCACAACGCTGACGAAAGAGCAGCAGGCTGCATACATGCAGACCTTCAAGGAGATCACGAAGAAGCCGTTCTTGCTTCTAGGAGCGGCAGGGCCAGAGGCGCGGGGCTCCGCGTCTTCGAGCTGATGGAAGGCGTCACGAAGATCTCGTGCATGCTGAATTCACGCGTTCATTTTGTTCGGTGTCTACATGGGCAGGCGGCCAACAGCGTCGTCTTAGGGGAAGCTGCCGGTGTGGGGCTGGCGGGCTTCAGGATGCTAATCGGGGCTTTGTATGCACCCGGGTGCTGAACCTGTTCCTTATCCGCTTGAGCTTCTGTGCTTATCAGTTTACTGTAGTTCGGTGCTCGCGTTGGTTCCAGGGGATGTGCCTCAATTTCGTTACACACCTGACATGCAACTGTTCAAACCCACTCGGAGTTCGCATGCGTTTGAACACGTCTGCGCTGCAACGGCGAGAAACGCGTTGAATAATTTCGACGCACCCGCGGCGGACGCGCGCGCGGCACACATGGCACTATTTGACACAATTTGTGGGCGCGCGATGGCCCGCGTAGTCTCATGTGGCAGACTGGCAAAAAAATGGTTTTCTCAAATAATTCAGCGAGTACGCCCGCGAACAAATCTGGCAACTGTTTTGTGTACTGTCGTGTCTACATGTGATCGTTTTCGACTAGCCATGTCGTAAAACCGGTGAAAACGAACGGTGCTTGCATGATTTTGACGCGCGCGCGCGCGGCGGCGCGCCCACGTGCCCCGCGACGCAGTCGTTGCCAGGGGTTCTTACGAAGAGCACCGACTGCACCAAAGCATGCGCACCGCATCGTCTAATTCAAAGGGATGAAAAGCGGGGCGACACCAGGATCACCAGAGATGGTTCGTCTTACTGTGAAAACTGAATGGTGAGGCAGAAGCACACCCAAATTGCATCGCGAAAAAGCGAGCGGGTCAGTCTTACCCTGGGAGTGGGGTAGAATGGATCACTTGTAAACACTGAAGTCGTCAACCCTACTGCTCGAGCAAGCCCCATGCACTCATTTGTCAAAACGGCCCCCCACAGAAAAAACACGCTGGTGTCCTGCGAATTCAGCGATTGCGCGCGCGCGCAGACATCTGATATATTTGTTGACCAACCAGCCGGTTTTGATTGTAGTTGAAAACGATGTAATGAAATTGCTAAAAGCCAACTGATGAAGAACAATTTCGAAGCGCGCGCGCGGGGACGCGCGTTTGTGGGCCGCATGGTGATAGGGGAATGGGAATTGTTACCAGACGCACTTCTTACATCAACGCACTCGCACCGAATTGTACGATGTGCCAGAGAAAGGTGGGACCGAAACCAATTTGTCTGGGAAGATATGTTTGATACGTCGAATGAACGATCGTGAATAATAACAATGGAACACACAAAACACCAACAAAAAAACAAAAAAAACGTTGAGGAGAGCCGATAACTCCAGCCTCGGCATGGGGGTCTTAGAATCGATCTCTCTTCAAGTGCCTACCGAAACGTACCCAAGCCCTTTTTCCACGCAAAACGATTATGTTTATGGCCGCCGCTCCATTTAAAAGAATGCCAGGTACACAACACTCCCGAATTATCAACCAAACATTGTCAAGCCACGCGCGTCGCGCACCCGCGCAGGAGTGGGCCACTGAAGACAACGTCATGCGCGACGTGACGTTCCGGCGCTCTGCGTCCTGTAATGCAGCAGCGTCGCGCGCTGAACAACGCAACGGCGCCGCGCGCATGCGGACACGCGCCATGTCGGCGCCCTGCACTCCGCCGTGCCTCCCAAGAGCCCACGACATTGGCGACGGCTGCGCAGTTCGCAGCCACCAAGGGAGTCGCGAAGTCTCAAATGATCTGCGCTGCCCTCACCTCCGCCGTACCTCCCAGGAGCCCACGAAACTGGCGACTGTTCCGCAGTTCGCAGCCACCCAGGGAATCGCGAGATCTCGAAGTGATCTGCGCTGCCATCGCCTCCGCCGAACCCCCCAGGAGCCCACGAAAGTGGCGACAATTGCGCAGCTCACAGCCCCCAAGGGAGCCGCGAGGTCTCGAAGTGATCTGCGCTGCCCTCCTCTCCGCTGGACCTCCCAAGAACCCAGGAAGGTGGCGACAATTGCGCCACTCGCAGCCACCCAGGGAGCCGCGAAATCCCGTCTGGATGTGCGTACACTTCCGCTCCGCTGGACCTCCCAGGAGCCCACGAAAGTGGCGACGGCTGCGCTGTTCGCAGCCACCCAGGGAGCCGCCAGATCTCGTTTGGATGCGCGTACACCTCTACCCCGCTGGGCATCCCAGGAGACAACGAAACTGGCGACAATTGCTCAGTTCGCAGCTCCGCAGGGAGCCGCGAGATCTCGTCTGGATGCGCGTACACCTCTACCCCGCTGGGCATCCCAGGAGCCCACGAAAGTGGCGACGGCTGCGCTGTTCGCAGCCACCCAGGGAGCCGCCAGATCTCGTCTGGATGCGCGTACACCTCTACCCCGCTGGGCATCCCAGGAGACAACGAAACTGGCGACAATTGCTCAGTTCGCAGCTCCCCAGGAGCCGCGAGATCTCGTCTGTATGCGCGTACACCTCTACCCCGCTGGGCATCCCAGGAGCCCACGAGAGTGGCGACATTTGTGCAGTTCGCAGCGTCCTAAAGGAGCAGCGAGATCTCGTCTGGATGCGCGTGCAACTCCACTCCGCTGGACCTCCCAGGAGCACCCACAAAAGTGGCGACGGTTGCGCAATTCGCTAATTAGGGAGCCGCGAGGTCTCGTCTGTATGCGCGTGCACCTCCACTCCGCTGGACCTCTCTTGAGCCCACAAAAAGTGGGGGCTGGTGCGCAGTTCGCAGGCACCTGGGGAGCCGCGAGGTATCGTCTGCATGTGCGTACTTTTTGGGGGCGTCGCGGCCCTGCGCGCATCGAAAGGGCGGAGAAGGTCGTAAAACAGCGAACGCAAACTGGATGTGCGTACACCTCTGCTCCGCTGGACCTCCCAGGGGCCCACGAAAGTGGCGACAATTGCGCAGTTCACAGCCATCCAGGGAACCGCGAGGTCTCGTCCAGATGCGCGTACACCTCCAATCCGCTGGGCCTCCCAGGATCCCACAACAGTGGCCCCTTCTCCTCCTCCTCCTCCTCTCTCCTCCTCCTCCCTCCTCCTCCTCCTCCTCCTCTCCTCCTCTCTCCTCCTCTCTCCTCCTCTCGGCTCCTCATCCCTCCATCCTCCTCCTCCTCCTCCTCCTCCTCCTCCTCCTCCTCCTCCTCCTCCTCCTCTCTCCTCCTCCTCCTCTCTCCTCCTCCTCCTCCTCCTCTCCTCCCCCTCCTCCTCCCCCTCCCTTCTCCTCCCCTCCTCCGACCTCCTACGTCTTCCTCCCTGCTCATCCCCGTCATCGTCTTCGGGGACCTCCCTGGGCGATTTGGCAACTTTGCGAGGGTCTCGAGCGGAAATCACAAAGGGGGACACTCCCAGGTCGGCTTCTGCGAGGATGTCTCGAGCGAGAGCCCCGGACTGGGACACGCCCAGTGCGCCCCGTGGCGCCCAGGCGCGCGCCAGCAGATCCCCGGAAATGGTCCCTGAGGGCGCTGCTTTCTCGCGCGCTGGGGGTCAACTCTGGCAGGATGTCTCGAGCGAGAGCCCTGGACTGGGACACGCCTGTTGCGCCCTGGCGCGCGCCAGCAGATCCCCAGATTGGTCCCGAGGGCGTTGCTGGGCCTGACTTTCCCGCGCGCGCTGGGGGTCGACTGTGGGAAAATATCTCCAGCGAGAGCCCCAGACTGGAACACGCCCGGTGCGCCCCAGCGCCCCAGAATCGCAAGTAGAGGCCTCCTAGATTGGGCCCCGCATGGAGCCGCATCGCCCATGCATCGCCGATGCATCGGCGATGCGGCGCAATCCTCCGACCCCACAAAGGAGGCCTAGAGCAAGCCAATGTCTCTGGAGAGATACCAGGCCCTCGTGGTGCAAGCACTGTCTTCGGCACAAACCTTCGGAGGGCCGCGCGGATTTCTTCGGTCGACGCCGGGCCTCCGTCTCCCCCCACCCCTTCCCCTGCCGGCGGAGCGCGTCGGCGAACGGCGCTGGAGGCGCCGCCGGGAGGTCCAGCGCCGACCCAAGACGTCCGGGCATGCCATTGAAAGCTCATGCTCACGCCGCGTTCTGCCTTCGCAGTTTTGCCCCCCCTGGAACCAGGCTGAGCGCCATGACGAGCGACAGCATGCTGGGAGGCAGGTCCGTGCTCAGCGGACAGCTCCACGCCTGGCGGGAAAGGAAACGAGGACCAGGGCCAGGACTGAGCGCGGAAGCGTCGGCGCAGACCTCGGCCACCTTCCATTCGTGGCTCGGCCTCACGAGCCGGCGACTGCAGGCATGGACCATGGCCAAGATCGGTGCCGACAGGATCCCGCGGCAGCTTTTGGTCGTGGTCATCGCGACCCCTCCCGCGAGCGCCATCGGGAGCAGCGCCGAGGCGGCGACGAGCAGCGAGACGGCCAGCACCACCGGCGGCAGGGCCAGCAGCCGGCAGTCCCGCACGAGCAGCGCGAAGACGAGGAGGGCCAGCGGAAGGACCCGGAGCTCCGCCAGCAGGAGCTGGACATCGTGTCTTACACTTCTGCGCTACGGTGGGGGCCCTTCCACAAGAAACCTTCCACGAGAAGCCCAGCCCTGAGACCACAGGGCGTCCTCTCGCTCTTGGTGCGGGAACGTCGCGCTTTCCACTGCAAAACCATCGGAATCCAAGAAACCCGAGGCACCCTGGAGGCAAGCAGGGTGTTTCTTGGCATTGGCCTCCACTGTAATCCAGGTTATTCTCGGATAGCACTTGGAGAGCTGAGAAGATTTCAGATTAAAAGCCGGCTGGCAAGGGTAGCCCCAGAGCTCGTTCCGGCCTCCCATAGAAATCCCCTCGGCGCCCTTTGAGGTTGCAGCGTGTTCCAGCAGGCCTTTTTCTCACTGCTTCCCCATACGTGTGCCCTGCAGCTTTCCAGAAGCTCCTTCCCAAAGCTTCCAGAGCTCCTTCGAAAGACCTTCTGGAAGCTTCTGTCGCTTCGCTATCCGGGATTTTGGACACCATAAATCTGTTGGGGGGGCGGTGGAGGTGCAGGCCGAGAACCGAACCTTTTCGCTCTGGGCAGCCCCACGTATGCCCGCGCGCACCAGGACTGAGTACCCCCTTCGGGCCTGCGCAACGGGGGGGGGAGAAGATTAAGGCCACATCGGGCCGTTCAGGGCCCACTTGGGACTGATTGCAACCACTGGCAAAAGGACTGATCTCAACGTGTAGAATTCCTTCAATAATCTTACAAGCCGCATGCCGGATTACAACCAAGGAAGCTCTCTTCATCTGCCCAGCGCTTGAAGGATTCCTGAGGATCCCTAAAGTTGTCAGGGATTCTTAAGAGGATTCCCGAGGATTCCTCTAAGGATTCCAAACGGATTCCTGAGGGCTACTGGAAAGGATTCCTGGAAAGGATTCCTGAGGGATTTCTTGAGATTCCTTGAGGGAGTCCTGAGGTCCTACAAAAAGCCTAAGGGATTCTTGGGGGGTCCTCAGGGATTCCTGAAGGATTCCTGAAGGATTCCGGAGGGAATCCTAGAAGATTCCTGATGGATTCCTGGGGGAATCCTAATGGATTCCTTGGTCCTAGGGGGGTCCTGCGGATTCCTGAAGGATTCCTGAGGGATTCCTGAAGGATTCCTGAGGGATTCCTGAGGGATCCCTGAAGAATTCCTCGAATGGATCCCTGGGGGGGTCCTGAGGAATTCCTGGGGGGATTTCTGGGGGATTCCCAAGGGATTCCTAAGGGATTCGTGAGGACTGAAGCAACCCTTGGACAGGGGGCTCACCAGGCCCCCGAGGGTGACGCCTCCAACGGAGGCGCCACGTTACCCTGGGAGGAAGCCTGGGGAAACCCGCGCTCCCAAGGGGGATGGGGGGAGGAGACTGAACCACTCCTCGCCTCCCTCACTGCTGCCACCGCTGAGGCGCTCGGCCTCCTTCCCAAAGAGTCCTGCTCCTACGGGCCTCTCGGGATTCTCTGGATGTCCTAAAGAATCATATTACTCCTGTAATTCCCCTGGGACTCCATGGGGAAATAAGGCTTCCGAGGGAATCCGAAAGGTTCCTTAGCGAATCCTCCTGTTTCCGAGGGATTCCATAGGAGCCCCCAGGAATACATACATATGTAGAAATACTCATTTATACACACATACTAAGCCGTTGTAAATAAGTACATCTCCAGGCGCATACACTTGTACATCCTACGCGTATAATAAAAGCTGTACACATGTTCACATATACGTAAAGATACGCACCTATCGATGCGCACACACATACACACACACACACACACACACACACGCGCGCGCACACACACACACACACACACACACACACACACGCACACACACACACACACACACACACACACACACACACACACGCACGCACGCACGCACGCACGCACGCACACACACACACACACACACACACACACACACACACACACACACGCACACGTACCTGCATATGTATATACGCGTGCACAGATACATACACGGGGCTGTTATGAATTCCGGGATGCTTAGGGGTTATTACTTCTGCGCTGAGGAACTGGGCCGCTGTTAGACTGCACCAGATAGATTGTACCAACAAGTTGCGCCACGTATGTTACACAACACAGATTGCACCACGCAGATTGCACCACGAAGTCTGGACAACATAGATTGCACCACTAAGTCTGCATAACGTGGATTGCACAACACAGAGTGTACCAATAGAGTGCGCAGCATAGATTGCGCCACAAAGATTGGACCGCTTATGTTGGACCGCGTAGAAAGCACGAAATAGATTGCACCAATCAGATTGCACCACGTCGATTGCACCGCCTAAATTGCGCGCCGCTTAAATTGCACTGCGTGGATTGCGACACCTAACACCACATGCATATATATACACACACATATATATATATATATATGTGTGTTGCACAACACAGATTGCATGACATAGATTGCAAAACATACATGTAATGAGCCGTCGGTGATCGGCCCGATTGCAACCGCTTCTTCGGAACTCCTCTGGGGGCTCCAAGAGAAGTCGTTGCATCCAGGAGCGCTCTGGCGAGCCTTCCCTTCAGCAAAACGACACCACAGCCTCGGCTACACGCAAGGGTGACCCTAGGCAAGAGTGACCTTTCGTGCGCGGCCAAGGGGGGCCCCTTTGGGGACACCACCAGGCGGGCAAGCTGCTGCCGCCGCATCGCATTCGGCGATCTGGGGGCCCCAGTGGGCCCGCACCAAAGGTCCCTCCGGCGAAAGGTCACTCTCAGGTCCAGTCGACAGCTTCCCCAAACAAACGTCCCAACCGCACCGGCCCGACCACAGCCGGCTGTGATCGGTCCGAGGTGGTCGACGCTCGGCCCGAACGTGGCCGCGACCCGCCTCCGATCGCGGGGAGGGGGGGGGAGGTGCAGGCGGAGAACCGAACCTGATCGCTTCGGGCAGGCCCGCGTACGCAGAGGCCTCCTAGATGGGGTCCCAGCACATGGGGTCGAGGGATCGCGCCGCAGCGTCAACGCATCGCCGATGCATCGACGAGGCATCGGCGATGTGTCGGCGACGCATGCGCGACGTCGGCGTGGGGCAAAAGCGGGCTCCGCATCGAGCCGCATCGTCGATGCACCGGCGATGCGGCGCGGTCCTCGGACCCCACCCATCGGCTAGACGTAAGAGTGACCCTGGGTAAGAGTGACCTTTGGTGCGCAGCTTTTGGGGGCGCGAGGGAGCCAAACCCAAGGGCGTGGGCCGCTTCTGTCGCACCGTGCTCGGCGACCGGGGGGAGCCCGATGAGCCCGCACCAAAGGTCACTCCAGCGAAGGGTCACTCTTACGGTGTAGTCGAACCCAGGAGGACCCCATCTGGGAGGCCTGGAGTATGCCCGCGCGCACCAGGACTGCGCACCCCCTCTGGGCTTATGTCGGGCCTGTCCCCCTACAGGGGGATTTTCGACGAAAAATCAAGAATACCCAAAAAAAAATCAAAAAATAGTCCAAAAATAGTCTGGGGACAATTTTTGGAGTATTTCTGACCTTTTTGGCGCATTTTTGTTATTTTTCATTTTTCGTCGAAAATCCCCCTGTAAGGGGGACACACCCGACATAACTCTGGGCCTGCGCAACCGACAGGGTCAGGTCATCCAGGGTGGACGCGAGGGCCCGGGCCACAGCCAGACTCGGGTCGGACGAAAGGGGGGGATGGGATAGCAAAGGGGGGGCTTGAGAATCAGCTCACGTAGCTGATTTTCCCGGCGCCTCCTGGCGCTGGAGGCGGCTATGTATCGAGGAATGGGCCCATCGGTGAGGCCGAGACCAGCTGCATGCAGCAAATTTCGTAACCCCCCCTTTCCCGATCCCCCCCTTTCGTCCGGCCCGACAGACCTAGGACAGGAGAGCACCCTTCAAGAGCATGAGACCCTCCGCCTGCCCCCAGTGACGGCCACCCGAGGGTACCCTCCCTCGGAAAGCACGAGAGCACCCCACAGACGCGAACAACATTAGGGTACTCCAGATTTCGTAATAAAAGGGAGGGGGTCTGGACCCTCCAAGACAAGCCATTTCAGACCTCCCCCGTGGGAGAACCCTCCAAAACGTCATCCCCAGACCCCCCAGGCCCTGCAAGATGGCCTGGAAGAGACCCCCCCTCCGAACTGAGACCCCCCTCCCTTTTACTACGAAATCTGGGGTGCCCTCCCGAACGGACCTCGATCTCATACCTCGGCCCGACCGTGCCGCCAGACCCCGAGAAAAGAACAGTCTCCTTCGTATCCGTCTCGTTGTGGCCGTAGATGACGTCGAACGCCACCGCGAGGCTCCCCGTGAGGGTGACCCGGGCCCCCTCCGGCGGCGAGGAGCAGGCCTCGCGCATGAACGCGACGAGCTCCTTCCGGATCTGAAGGGGCCCTGAAACACACAAATAGATAGACACAAATGACAGGATTCCCCATCTTTTCCCATATATTTTCTGGGTGTTTGTCTTCCCCCCCACTTCCCTTTTTTCCCCTTTTTATCTTGGAAGTCGACGATTAATTGTGTCTGTGTGTTTCCTCCCCTCCTGAGGATCGGCGATCGAAACGAATCGCATCGGCGGAAAAATCGGCAGCCAGGTCGGGAGAAGTCGAATGGGGGGAAATCGGCAGGCTACAGCCTGGTGCGAAAAGCACCTGGCGCTCTTGTGCGCACTTCCCCCCGCCCCCATTGCAACGTGCAGTACGGTTCCGATATTTTTCCCCGACCCTCGCCGGTCGGGCGATCTACATTGAAGTGGGGAGGCGGGGGGGGGGCTCACCAAGCACCAATTGCCATTCGCACCGGGCTGCAATAGAGCCTCCACTGGGAAATCGAAATCAGAATCGGGAATCGGAATCGGAACCGACTGAACCGAAACGATGGAACAGAAAACAAACGACAGCACCCCGCACACAGCCCCAGGGGGCTTAGCGTATACCAGGAAATCTGGCGTGGGCTTTTGCGTGGTGTGCGCTACGGCCCCCGATGGGCCCAGGAAGCCCGCGAATCCCCCCGTTCCACCAGATTCCAGGAAGTCGAGGGAAGTCCTTTCTCGGGAGCGGCAAAGAGGGGGGCGTCTAAGAGGGGGGGGGGCAAATCATGACCGGCGGCATGTGCGCGGCCCAGCGGGGGGGCCAGGGACGCAATGAAATAAGAAGAGGCGCCATGAAATCTGGGGAAATATCATGGCCCCCGCCATGATATCCCCCCCCTATTCATCACCCCCCTCTTTTCCGCCCCCGACTTTCCCTTCCCCTCCCGCCGGGGAGGGGGAAGGGGGTGCCCCGGGGAAGTCCCGGGCCAGACACGCGCCCCCGCGGGTCCACCAAATTCCAGGAGGGCGCCACATGGAGAGCCGTGGGCGAGGCGGTGTCGTCTGTTGTTTGGCCGAATCTCATCGAGCCGGAGGAGTCGAAAGGAGCCCTGCCTTCTGGTACAGCCAGGAGCACCACGTCTGGCAGTCCTCCCGGGGCGCCGGGCTGGCCGTGCCCAAGAACGCCAGCAGCGTCGTCCTGCCGTCCGCGGAGACGAGCTGCTCCTTCCGAGTATGAGGTCGACTACGTACGTACTTGATGTACCCCAGAAGTAATTTGCTCGTCGGGCTTGCGAAAAGAGGCCAGGCTGCGTGCTGGGATGTGTCGGCGTGCTGCCTCGGTGTGCTCCGTGCTGGGATGCTGCCTCGGTGTTCTCGGTTCCGGGATGTGTCCGCCTCGGTGTGCCGGGATCGGTGTGCTGAGATGTGTGGACGTACTCGGATGTGCGCTGGGGGGGGGATGTGTGGAGGTGTGCCAAGATGTGTGCTGGGTTTGCGCTGCCTCCTTCTGCTGGAATGTGTGATTGCCTCGGTGTGTGCTGCGATATGTGCTGGTCGTGGCCCCCCTGGATGTGCGCTGGGGGTGCTGGGATGTGTGGAGGTGTGCCAAGGTGCGCGCTGGGTTGTGCTGCCTCCGTATGCTGGAATATGTGTTTGCCTGGGTATGCTGCGATATGTGTTGGCCGTGGCCCCCCTGGATGTGCGCTGGGATGTGCGCTCGGCGTGCTCGGTGCTGGCCTGTGTCGTCCCCATGTGGCCCACCCTCTGCTTATTCCGACCGGCCGCCCGTGCCCCCCTCCCCCCCTCTGCCTGACCGTGTCCCCCCGTGCCCCCCCCTCTCTTCCCCCCGGGCCCCCCCCCCCCCTTTCTGCTTATTCCGACCGACAGATCGTGCCCCTCCCCTGCCCGACCGTGTCCCCCTGTGCCCCCCCCCCTTCCCCCCGTGCCATCCCCTCTTGCTTATTTTCCGACCGATCGACCGTGCCACCCCCCCTGTGGTCGACCGTGGCCCCCAGTGCGCCCCCCACTTTCCCCCCATGCCCACCCCCTTCTGCATATTCCGACCGACCGATCGTGCCCCCCCCCCCCCCCCCTGCACGACCGTGGCCCCCGTGTTCCCCCTTCTTCCCCTCCGTGCCCCCCCTCTGCTTATTCCGACCGACCGACCGTGCCCTCCCCCCTGCTTGACCGTGGTCCCTCGTGCCCCCCGCTCTTCGACCGACCGTGCCCCCCCCCCCCTACCGGACCGTGGCACCCCGTGCGTCCCACCCTTCTCCTTGTGCCCCCCCATTTCTGCCTATTCCGACCGACCGACCATGCTCTCCACCCTCTGCCTGACCGTGGCCTCCGCCGCCCCCCTCTCTCCGTGCACCTTCCCTCTGCTCATTCCGACCGAATGACGGTGCCCCTCCCCTGCTCGACCGTGCTCCCCCGTGCCCCCCCCATTCCTTCCATGCCCCTCCTCCCGTTTCTGCTTATTCCGACCGCCCGACCGACCGACCGCACGCCTTTTCCGACCCGACCTACCGACCGTGCGCTATCCCAGCCCGTCCGTGGCCCCCCGTGCCCCACCCCTCCCCTATTCCCACTGTGGTCCCCCCTCTGCTTACTGCGACCAACCGACAGTGCCCCACCCTGACCGACCGTGGCCCCCCGTCCTTCCCTCCCTTACCCCCGTGGCCCCCCCTCAGCTCGTTCCGACCGACCGACCGGGCCCCCCCCCTGCCCGACCGTGGCCCCCCGTGCACCCCCCTCATTCCCTCCCTGCCCCCCCCCCCATCTCTGCTCATTCCGACCGACCGGCCGACCGACCAACCGTACGCCTACTCCGACCGACCGACCGTGCGCTATCCCAGCCCGTCCGTGGCCCCCCGTGCCCCACCCCTCCCCTATTCCCCCTGTGGTCCCCCCTCTGCTTACTGCAACCAACCGACAGTGCCCCACCCTTCCCTGCCTGACCGTGTCCCCCCGTGCCGTGCCCCCGCCCCCCCTCTGCTTCTTCCAACCGACCGACCGTGCCCGACCGTGCTCCCCCGTGCCTCCCCCCCTCCCCCCCGCACCATCCCCTTCTGCTTATTCCGACCAATCGACCGTGCCCCCCCCTCTGCTCCACCGTTGCCCCCCGTGCCCCCTCCCCGTTCACTCGTGCCCCCCCCCTCTCCTTCTTCCGACCGAGCGACCGTGCCCCCCTCCTGCCGACCGTGGCCCCCCCGTGCCCCCCGTGCCCCCCCCCCCCGCTGGGCTTATTCCGACCGACCGACCGACCGCGCTGTCCCCCCTTTGCCCGACCGTTCCCCCCCCCGCGCCCCCCACGTTCGCCCCGTGGCCTCCCCTCTGCTACTTCCAACCGAGCGATCGTCCCCCCCCCCGCCCCCCTGCCCAACGGTGGCCCCCCGTGTGCCCTCCTCCTCCTCCTTCCGCGCGCAGCACTCGAGGATGGTGATTTTGACGCGCCGTCGACGGCAACACCACTTCGCCCTCCCTCTGGGACTTCGCCTCCAGCTCCTGTCCAAGGCGTACCTTTTCAAGTGCATGCTCTTCGGCACCGCCTGTACCCCGCGACCTCCGGCCGCCTGAGGCCCCGCCCGCCCGCGCCCTGTCTCCCCAATTAGTGCTTCGCGCGCCCCGTCTAGCTCTAAGAGGCCCGCTCTCGACACGCAGACCAAAAAAGTGCCCCCCTCCTCTCTGCTCATTCCGACCGATCGACCGTGGCGCCAAATGACACCATGGTTCCGACGAGCTCACGGCGACGGAAAAAGGTTTTTCGCACGAAGGCTCACAAGAGCGAGCGATCTCCAAAAAACTGTTCAAAGTGTTATTATGTTTGTCTCTGGAGGCCCTCTCGGTCATTGAAGGCCTCTCGGGGCGCATTGGGGGCATATTGGGCCGTCTGGAGGCCATCCTGGGCGTCTTGGACAAATCGTCCGACGACTCGGGGCCCTTTTCCACCGTCTTGAAAGCCTCTCTGAGGGTCCTCTCGGCCCGTCGTCGGGCCTCCGCGGCGTGGGCCCTTACGAACCTTACAACCCCTGTGCCTCTCAGGCCGCAGGAGCCTTGGGCCACCCCGCAACGTGCTGAAGACGGCGACGGATCTTGGCAACGCCTACCATCGCGCCCCCCCCCTATCGGGGCCAAAGCGCTTCGCTCCATACAGGGGACCTGCATTATAAGACACGCCGTTGAAGCCTTGCAAACCTCTCCCGTCATACTAAGTTTGCCTTCAGATCGAGCTTGGCGCTGCGTCCACACAGAGCCATGCTGCTATTCGCCGCTCCCCCCTTTATAGTCACTCGCCAGTGTGTCGCAGCACTCGCGCGCTTCCCCAAAACTACCACAAATTGGCGCCATCTCCATCTCCCATTGTCCACCATCCGAGATTGCATGATCCTTGGCACGCGTGCCTCTTGTTTGCTCGTCGGATTTGCGAAAAACGAGTCGGATGCCCGTAGTTATGCGAACATTCTACGCATTGTCATAACAAACAAACTCTGGGCCAAATCAATTCTGTGGTCGATCTCCGACGCGATCCTTGAGCATCGGATCGCGCGGAGGGATGCCCAGCTTCGGCACGCCGACGAAGCCAGAGGAACAGAGCTCGGCACGAGCACGCCTGCCCGGGAGGTCCTCGCGGAGGTCCGGAGCCGGCGCTGGGCCCCCCCCCTCTGGCGAGCGGAGCGGCGCCAGGGGCGCAGGAGGCGCTGCGGGGCTGGTTGATGACTCTCCTCCTCCTCCTCCTCCTCCTCCTCCTCCTCCTCCACCTCCTCCTCCTCCTCCTCCTCCTCCACCTCCTCCTCCTGCTTCTCCTCCGTTTCCTCAATCTCATCCTTTTTCTCCTCCCCCTCCTGCTGCTGGACGAAGAGGAGGATGAGAAACGAGAGGAGGGACCCTCCTCCACCTTCTCCTTTCCCTCCTCCTCCTGCCCCAGACATGCGATGTCCTGATTTATGGGGAATCCA